GGTAGCCCATGGCAACCCACTGCAGCAGGGGCTGCAGCCTACGCTGTCGCTGGGGACTCACAGCAGCCCAGCTCCAGGTTGAGCTTTTGTCCAGCATCTTAGCTGTGGAGGCCCTCATATGTGGGATCCGAACCGGGGCCCTCTGGCATCCCAAGCCAGCTCTTAACCATCGCACCACTCGGCCGGCCCTGTGTGAGGCAAACATATCATAAGATTGGGGAGCACCTTCCTAGATAGTAGCAGCTGTCATGAACATGACAGCATATAAGTCCCATGTCTGGACAGATATAAGTTATAACGATATGATATTGAAAGTAGTTATGAAAACATAAAAAAATGAATATTTTCAGAAATGTTAGTGGTTTCTATTGTTCAAACATGGTACGCTTCAGGCTCTTTATAAAGGTAGTGTGGTTTGATTATGTGAAAGATTCTTGAAGCACTCATTTAAAAAGAAAATCAGACTTCGAGACTACAATATATAAATTTATAGACAATTTGCAGACAACCTTCAATAGACAATCTAGATAACGAGGATACACGTTCAAGGAGCAGTATTATATTCTAATGTCAATACTGCAGTATTCTCTTAATTTTATCGTATGTAAAATGAAGTATCGTCTCTCCAATGATTCAGCTTTTGAGGCTCACTGTGTTTTCTGCAAATTGCGATTTGGCTTTGGCTGACTTTCATTGCCCAGCCCTTAACGACAAGTCTACTGTGTTTACTTTCAGAATTTTAGCCTGTGTTTTCAACCCTGCAGATTTTTAAAATCCTTTATGGACTTGTGATGGATTAATTTATGGAAACTAAAATGATGAAAGTTGCTCCACCCAGTAAAAAGAGGAAATGTCACCCCCAGGAGTAGTAGTGCTAATAAACCTGAGATCAGTCAGTCCACATTTTCAAACCTTGTGCTGATATGCCAGCGTGTAATATTTACATGGTACAATGTTGTTACTAGACCTTGGAGAGATTCTAATTGCTAACTCACATCAGGGCTTGGTATTTGAAATATTTCCTGGCAGCAATAAAAAAAAAAAAGAAGGAAAGAAAGAAACAATAAACCTTTTAAGGCAGAATTAAGATTATTTACGACTTTAATTAAAAATTGAAACCTGGCATCATTTCAAAAAGCCTTTACAAAAATGTGAATTCATCAAAAATAACCATAAAAATTCCAAGGTGATAAAGGCACAGTGGAGTAATGGTCCTACCCCTAGGGAATTGTTTTGTTGAAAAGAATAAAACCCTTTTCTGTCACACCCTGTTAGTCATGGACTCATTTAATATACCGTCCCTTTAATCCTTTTATAAAATCCCCTGTCCCACAGACACTAAATGACATTATTTTGGTCTTAATGTTTCTGGCTTTATGGGACCCTACTCTGAAATCAGGGCCAGTGACAAGGAACCTTCAGTTGTAAGACAAATGTTTATTAGGAGGGACAAAGGTCTTGTAAGTGAGGCCCCGGCCGTGGGCATGTAGCCCTTCCCCACACCTGTTGTATCCTACAGAAGACCAAGAACCTGAAACCTCAGATAAATATTATTTAAGCTATATAAAGAAAGAAGGAGGAGGAAGGGGGGGGGGAGAGAACTCTTCTACAAAGGAATTGGGATAATTTGGCTCATCTCATGCACAGAGTAACTTTTTTCTTTGTCTAATGCGTGCACACCCACACACCCCATCAGCTGATGTACAGACTTCTTCCATCGAATGCACTTTGCAGATCTTGAGTCCATTAAAGAGAGGGCTACACAGGTAAATGAGTAGTGAAATACTCAAGTCACCAGTTACCATCTCCAGTGAGAATAGAATGTAGCCTGCAGAGCAAAAGGCAGAACCTGTCCTTCAATCCTGTCTGATAATGAGTGGCGAAATAAGAGAAAATTAAGGCAATAAACCACTTGAAATTTTTCTCAAGGCTGTGAGCTTTATCAGAATTTTTTATTTTCACCTTGCAAGTGCTCTAAGCAGTGGGGTTTCCTTCAACTCTGGCCGGTTATCAAAATGGACTTTTTAAAAGTGAATGCGAAGAATGCTGGGCCAAAAGTTAAGAGATGGCATGAAGCTTTTGTCCATTTCACACTTCCTTAAAGATTCCAAACTTTGGGGGTGATTCATTAAATATTTGTTAAACATTCACCTTTGACCCTCCGTAGTTGTTGACTTTCACTTTTGTGACCTTAACAAAAGCTGTTATAAATAAACCAAGCACAGCTTTTGAAAGTGTGTGAATGCAGCATGTATTTATATTTCCTACTTAGAGAACAGCTCTGTGTAGCTTTCTGGCTAAAATAGAGCAGCCTATTAATGCAACTCTTTTCATGTGGAACTGGCAATTCTTTAGAATCTGTTCAGAGCCACGTATACTCAAAACTATAAACAATTTCATTAAGTACCACGTAGGTTTACCTTTGTGCAGTTGTTGGAATCTTAAAAAGTAATGTGGAAAAAATACACACACACACACACACACACACACACACACACACACATATATATAAAATATTCTCCTAAATGGAAGCATATATTAGAAGAGCTAGCGAGGCTCACTTTTCTATCCATTGTTTTCTGTTATCATCTACATGGTAGATAGCATGCAAAAGTTGAGTACATAAATCAGAGGCCTTCCCAGATTTTGACAGTTTCCTCCCTCCCTTTCTTCCTCCCTCCCTTCCTTCCTTCCTTCCTTCTTTTCTTCCTTCCCTGCTCAGGAATAAACTAAAAAATCATTTCAGCTCTTAATAAAATGTCAGTAATAGGCACATATCATGGACACAGTATTTCAAGAC